GTATTATAGGTCCCAATCAAGTCCAAAACCCCCTTTTACTCAATTTTTTTCATCAGGTCCCATCCCCAAATCCAACCCCCCCTCCCTCAAATATTCAAAAAGGTCCCACCAAGTCCAAAAACCCCCCCACTCATGTATTCATTCAGGTCCCCCTAAGTCCAACCCCCCTTTACTCATGTATTTTATAGGTTTCCCCCTCAAGTCCAACCCCTTCTCATCATTTAAACACGGTCCCCCTCAAGTCCCAAACCCCCCCTCAAATCATGTTTTTCAAACGGTCCCACTCAAATTTCCCAAACCCCCCCACTCATGTATTCATCAGGTCCCATCAAATCCAACCCCCCTCCACCTCTTTTATTAATTTAGGTCCCATCCCAAATCCCAAACCCCCCTCCAATCCTGAATTAAACAGGGCCCCCCAAGTCCCAAACCCCCCCCCTAAAGTTTTAACCCGGGCCCCTCAAGTCCAACCCCTCTCACTTTATGTATTCCCTCAGGTCCCCCTCAAGCCCAACCCCCCTCACTTTAAGGGAAACATAGGTCCCACTCCCAAATTCCCAAACCCCCCTCCTCATTTTATTTCCCCTCAAGGGCCCACCCCAAGTCCAACCCCTCCACTCAAGTATTCATCAGGTTCCCCCCTAGTCCCAAACCCCCCTCACTCATGTATTTAAAGGTTTCCCCCTCAAGGGCCAACCCCTCTCACTCCCTGTATTTATCCCGGGGCCCACCCCAAAATCCAAACCCCCCCCAAAATCAAGTAAATTAAACAGTCCCACTCAAGTCCAACCCCTTTCCCCTCATGTATTCATCAGGTTCCCACTCAATCCAAAACCCCCTTACTCATGTATTTTAAACAGGTTTCCCCCTCAAATCCAACCCTCCCTCATGTATTCATCAGGCCCACCCAAAAATCCAAAACCCCCCTCCTCATGTATCATCAGGTCCCCCTCAAGTCCAACCCCCCTCACTCATGTATTTCATCAGGCCCACCCCAAGTCCCCCAAACCCCCTTTACTCATTTATTTTTATCGGTCCCACTAAAATCCCAACCCCCCTCATCAAGTATTCATCAGGTCCCCCTCAAGGGCCAACCCCCCCTTTCCCCCGTTTTTCATCAGGTTTCCCCCCTCAAAATCCAAAAAACCCCTACTCCCCTGTATTCATTTTTTAGGCCCACTCAAATCCCAAAACCCCTCCACTCATGTATTCATCAGGTTTCCCCCTCAAGCCAAACCCCCCTTCCCCTCATGTATTTTATCAGGGCCCACTCAAGTCCCCAAACCCCCCTTTAATCAAGTAATTTAACAGGTCCCACTCAAATCCCCAAAAACCCCTCACTCAAGATTCATTTAGGTCCCACTAAGTCCAAACCCCTCATAAGTATTCCATCAGGTTCCCCCATCAAGTCCCCCCCCCTCTCACTCATGTAAAATTCCAAACAGGTTTCCCCCCAAGTCCAACCCCTCCTCATTGGGATTCATCAGGGCCCATCAATATCCAAACCCCCCTCACTTTTATGTATTATCAGGCCCCCTCAAGTTCCCAAACCCCCCCTCACTTTTTAAAGGTTTTTTCATCAGGGCCCACCAAAATCCAAAACCCCCCTCCACTTTATGTAATTTTTCGGGCCCCCCCAAGTCCAACCCCTCTCCTCATGTATTCATAGGGCCCCCTTAAGTTTCCAAACCCCCTTCCCCTCATTTAAATTTCAAAGGCCCCCTAAGTCCAAACCCCCCTCCTCATGTATTTATAGGTCCCCTTAAGTCCAACCCCTCTAAATCAAGTATTCATCAGGGGCCCCCTTAAGTCCCAAACCCTCCCCCTCAGTATTCATAAGGTTCCCACTTAAGTCCAACCCTCTCCTCCCTGTATTCAACAGGGCCCCCCCAAGTCCCAACCCCCCTCTCAAAAAATGTATTCATAAAGGGCCACTCAAAATCCAACCCTCTCCTCATGTAAATTTATCAAAGGTTTCCCCCTCAAGTTTCCCAAACCCCCCTCACTCAAGTATTCATTTAGGTCCCCCTTAAACCCAAACCCTCTCACTCATGTTTTTCATCAGGGCCCCCCCAAGCCAACCCCCTCCTCATGTTATTCCCTCAGGGGCCCATCAAACCAAAGAACTCCCCCTTAAAATCCAAAAGTATTAATCCCCGGTCCCCCCAAATCAAATTTTTAACCCCTACTTTTCCCCATTGGGGATTAACCGGGGTTACCTAAGTATCCCTCCCAAAAACGAATTTTAAAGGCCCCAACCCCAAAGGCCCCTTTCCCGTACCATTGGGGGAAAATTCCCCTCAGGGTTCCCTAAGGTTTTTCCAATTTCCTCCCACTCAATGAATTTATCCAAAGGGCCCAAACCCAAGGTTTTCCCAATTTTCATGGTTTAAAAGGTACACTCAAACCCAATTCATTTCATTTTTTATTCACAGGTTTTTCCCCCTTTTTAAACTCCAACCACCCTCAATCCCGGATTAAGGTCCCCCTCAGTAACCCCCCATCAAAAATTTTATCTGGTTCCCCTTTTTAAAACCAATTTTTGATTTCCCCTTTGGTCCAAAAACCCAAAGTCAAAATTTACTAAATATTTTAAATTTGGGGTTTCCACTTTAAATCCAAACCCAATTCAAATTAAATTTAATTTTTTTCAAGGTCCCAACAATTCCCAACCCTTCCAATCATGGATTTAACAAGGGTTTAAACTCAAAGGGGAAAAAATTAAAACATGTAAATTATAGGGGGGGAATTTAAAGAAATTTATTGTTTTATAAAATATTAAAATTAAATTTATTATGTATTATAGGTTAATAAGTTAATTATAAAAATATTATAGGTAACTCAAGTTCAATTTCACTATGAAAAAAATTTTTGGTAAAATTAAAGTTAAACCTTTACGCCTGTTTTAAAAAAGGCCCCCTTTAAAATTTCCCAAAATTTACCCCTTAACAGAAAAAAATTTTCCAACCATCTCATCATTTTTTCATCAGGTTTAAACCAAATTCCCTAGGGGATTTTATCATTGTTCCAATTTTTCGTTCCAAACCCATCTTGGGGCAAAAGGGAATTTTTTAGGTTTCCCCTTTTTGTTTTTAACCCCCCCATAGTTTTCCACAAACCCCCAAGGGGTATAAACCCCTGCTTATGATTTGGTTCCCAATGTTTTTCCCAAACCCCTTTCAAACTTTTTAAAAAGGGAACTTTAAAGGCCAAATTAAAGTTTTAGCAGGGCCATAATAAATTTATTAAAAATTAAAAATAATAAAAAATAATTAATAATAATAATAATAATAATAATAAATTAATAATGATAATAATGATAATAATAATAATAATAATAATAATAATAATAATAATAATAGTAATAATAATAATAACAATAACAATAATAATAATAATAATAATAAATAAAAAATAATAATAAATAATAATAATAAATATAAATAACAATAATAATAATAATAATAATAATAACAATAATAATAATAATAATAATAATAATAATAATAATAACAATAATAATAATAATAATAATAATAATAAATAATAATAATAACAAAAATAAATAACAATAATAATAAATAATAATAATAATAATAATAATAATAATAATAATAATAATAATAAAAATAATAATAATAATGATAATAATAATAATAATAATAATAATAATAATAATAATAATAATAATATCTTTATTAACTACCAGTACCTGTACAAGGTATACAGACCATAGCTGACATCAGTGACATACTACTATATAGAAAGCCGCTTGTTATGCTGAGCATTTCCCGCACATTAGGTCAGTTTTTGTCCCAGGATGCGACCCACACCAGTCCACTAACACCCATTTACCCATTTTACTGATGGGGAATATAACAATCGATGTAAGGAAACATAAGAACATAAGAAAGAAGGAACACTGCAACAGGCCTACTGACCCATGTCCCCCCCCGGATTAGCCCAATGACCCACCCACCCCGGATTAGCCCAATGACCCACCCACCCCGGATTAGCCCAATGACCCACCCACCCCGGATTAGCCCAATGACCCACCCACCCCGGATTAGCCAATGACCCACCCACCCCGGATTAGCCCAATGACCCACCCAGTCTGGTCACCTCCACTCAAGGAAGAAGCACGGCACCAGACCCAGGAGCACAAGCTAGTCAGGTCCAACTCACACCCACCCACTCCCACTCATGTATTTATCTAACCTATTTTTAAAACTACACAACGTTTTAGCCTCAATAACTGTACTCGGGAGTTTGTTCCACTCATCCACAACTCTATTACCAAACCAGTGCTTTCCTATATCCTTCCTGAATCTGAATTTTTCCAACTTGAAACCATTGCTGCGAGTCCTGTCTTGGCTGGAAATTTTCAGCACGCTATTTACATCCCCTTTATTTATTCTTGTTTTCCATTTATACACCTCGATATCTCCCCTAATTCTACGCATTTCTAAGAGTGCGATTCAGGGCTCAGTCTTTCCTCATAGGGAAGATTTCTGATACATGGGATTCATCTTTGTCATCCTCCTCTTTTACGTTTTCCAGGAGATTTATATCCATTCTGTACTACGGTGACCAGACTGAGCAGCATAGTCTTATGAGCTAACCAAGGCATTAGTGTGGACGGTTACAAGCATGGCTTGCTTCTGCAGTGTTTTAAAAAATTGAGGTTGGAGAGTTGAAGGGAGGGAGGTCTTGCTTTCTCAGGAGGAGATTAGGAGGCTGAAGGTCCACCCAATGGGTCTGGGGAGAGAGTGTGAGGTGACTGGAGTTTTGGGGAATGAGGCTTCTAGCAGCGAGGTGCCAGTCTGTCTCTCGCGGTGAGGAAGCTGTAGTTTAGGGAGGCAGCAACGGCTACCAGCTGTGAGGTGCAGCCAGAACCTGCTACAAAGTGGCGGAGTAGATCACAGTAATGGAAGGCGCATCAGAGAAGGAAAGTTAAGAGTGAAGATCTGAAGGTAGGAAATCGTTCTCTGTTCGTCAGGATGAATGTACTTTCAGTGGCCAGTGAAGGTACGGGTACTAACGGCCCTGCTAATGGAGGTAAGCGCATTCTGGTGGTTGGTGATCTCAGGTAAGATACATTGACCGTGCTTTTTGTAATAGGAATTAGAAGATGAAGAGATAGAGTGTGCTTTCTGGCAGCTGGTGTTGGAGACATTGTCAAAGGCTGGATATATATGTCAGGTTAATGGGAGCAAGCCCATTATCTGTATCAGTGCTGGTGGAAATGGATCATTGGGAAGGGTAGGAGAGAGAGCTGCTAGATTAAGTACGGTCAGACTATAGATTTCTTTAAGTCTAAGGGAGGGTTCCCAAATCATATGTAGATCTTGCCTAGAAGGGAGTAGGATATGAATGGTTGTCTAGGGCAATTGGTGTAAATGCTGGCTAGACAGGATACTGCAAGGAACTTGCAATCCCATTCATTGACAACTGGAAACTTTTATGGGCAAACATGAATGTATGCAAGGGAGGGGTACATCTCTCTGGGGCTGGGTTGGTAGCACTTGCAGACTCGATTGAGAAGGCCATTGGAGACAATGCCTATGATTTTAACACTGATGAAGATAGAGGTATGGGTGTGTGTGGGAATGCAAGCAGGTTGCAACACATTGGGTTGGAAACAGTAAACTGTATAAAAGGCATTTCAGCATGAGTTATAGAATAAAGACAATAGAGCAGGTCGCAAACAAAGGGGGACAGCAGAGGGCAGCAAGGGACTATAGCTCCCTTAAGGTTTACTATACTAATAGCAGGTGTAAGAAATATGATAGAGAGCTAAGATTAATTGCAAGTGCAGGAAACATAGATATTCATTGATATAACAGAGACCTGGCTCAATCTGAAAGATAGAGAGATGCCTCTTAATGGTCACATACAAGGTATAAATATTCCAACACTGACAGTAACAGGAAAGGGTGGTGAGTGCGATGTATGTCAGAGACAATTTAAATTGTTTGTGTTAGACAAGATATTAATATTAGGAGCGTCAGCCACTGAATCTGTTGGTTACAGCTTCTCGAGGGACGAAGAAACAAACAATTTTGGTGTGATTTACAGGGCACAAATCTTGATAGTGAGTGCAGTAAACTTCTATGGACGAAATTCGTAAGGCATCTACATACGAAAATGTTGTGCTATGGGAGATTTCAACTATAACAGATTGACTGGAGCAATTTGACCGGAAATTTGAGTCAGGTGGACTTTCTTGTTACGATCCAGAGTTTTTTAAAACAGTTTGGGACAGAGCCAACTAGGGGAAATAACCTCCCTTGACTTGGTTCTTGCCAGTAGGGAACACTAATTAAATAATCTTGAGTTAATGATGAGCTTGGGGAAAGTGATCACAAATCACTTCAGTTTTAATATATCATGAGAATTCCCCTAATAAGGCAATCAAGTCTCCGTCCCTGACTTTCGCTTGGCTGATTTCATAGGACTGAACAAAATTACTTAGGTGGTGAACTGGGGGAAATGACCTGACTAACGGGTCAGGTTGGTGGTGATGGTTGCGTAGATGCTTTCCAGGCATAGTTCTAGCTGCTCAGTAAATTATGTGCCAAAATGGGAAATTCAGATCAAAACAAAATTGATCCTAACATGGATGTACAATAGATGAAAATATCTGATTGGTCAAAAGAGGAGGCATATATAGCGAATAAAAGAGGAGAGGGGCAATGAGAAATCGATATATTCAGTAAAGAGAGGTGAAATTAAAAAAGGGAATTAGAAAAGCCAAAAGAGATTATGAGGTTAAAGTTGCATAGGAATCGAAGGACTAACCCAAAAAGGATTCTTTAGGTATACAGAAGTAAGATCGGGACAAGATAGGCCCACTCAAAAAGTATCCTCGGGTCAGCTCACTGACAGTGATAGGAAATGTGTAGAATTTTTAACACATACTTCCTCTCAGTTTTTACACAGAGAGGATACCAGCGATATGCCAGCAATAATGATAAATTATGTAGACAACAGGACGATAATAAACTGTGCATATTAGGGTCACAAGTGACTGGTCCTTAGGCAAAATAGATAATAATTAAAAACCTAACAAATCCCAGGCTGTGAACTGTATTGCAAGGGTTCTAAGGTATGTAAAGTGGAGCTTAGCACACATTTGGGCTAATCTTTTTCAAATATCATACAATCTGGCACTGGTTGCTAGATAAGTGGAAAATGGCAAATGTGATACTATTTTTCAAAACATTGTGAAGGTCCTTAGGCTCGAACTATAGACCCAATAAGCTAAACCTCCATAGTGGGAAAAATTTATGGAATCAATAATTGCCGAGGCAAGTTCGTAGCACCTTGAACGCATAAATTAATCAACGAATCTCTGCATGTTTTACAAAGGGGCGTTCCTGCCTTACGAATTTATTAACTTTTTTCACTAAGAGTATTTGAGGAGGTTAGATCATGGTAATGAATATGATATTGTGTATATGGACTTCAGTAAGGCTTTTGGACTGGGTCCCACACAGAGACTATTGAGGAAAAATTAAGCACATGGAATAGGAGGAGAAATTTTTTTCCTGGATAGAGGCCATGGTTGACACAACATAGGCAGCAGTAGAGTTTTTTGCATAAATGGGGAGAAATCAGGTGGGGAAAGTGTCACGAAGCGGTGTTCCACAGGGTCAGTGTTGGGACCCTGCTGTTCACAATCTCATAAACGAACAAAGATGAGGCATAAAGAGGACATCGGCAAGTTTGCCGATGACACCAAAATAGGCCGTCGAATTCATTCTGACGAGGACATTCGAGCACTCCAGGAAGATTTGAATAGACTGATGCAGTGGTCTCGGAGAAGTGGCAGTTGCAGTTTAATATAGACAACGGCAAAGTTCTAAATGTTGGACAGGACAATAACCATGCCACATATAAACTAAATAATGTAGATCTTAATATTACGGATTGCGAAAAAGATTTAGGAGTTCTGGTTAGCAGTAATCTGAAACCAAGACAACAGTGCATAAGTGTTCGCAATAAAGCTAATAGAATCCTTGGCTTCATATCAAGAAGCATAAATAATAGGAGTCCTCAGGTTGTTCTTCAACTCTATACATCCTTGGCAATATAAACACAAATGCAGTATAATGTGATCCTTTATTGACTACGTTTCGCCCACACAGTGGGCTTTTTCAAGTCACAAAACAGAACTACCTGGGGTGGAAGGAACGCGAGTATTTATAGTCCGGCTGAGGTCAGGTGAAGAATGCTGCATCTGATGATGTACCGAGTTGGGTTGTAGAGTCTAAAAACTTGGGTAGCTTGGAAAGGAGACTGGACAAGTTTGTGAGCAGACCTTCTACAGTGTTCTTATGTGGGATAGCGATGAAGAAGTTTCTTGGCAAGTGGTTCAGCTATGTTATAGAAGCCACTATTCTGGTGAAGTTGTCGATTGAAATGAGGGGAGGCGATGATGCCAGATTCTTCGTATTGATTGTTGTCTTCTGTGGCGATAAGTCTTGAGTTTCTGTAGTTTATCAAGTGGTTGTGTGAATTACGGTGTTAAGATTTCGTTCGGATTTTTAACCCCGGAGGGTTAGCCACCCAGGATAACCCAAGAAAGTCAGTGCGTCATCGAGGACTGTCTAACTTATTTCCATTGGGGTCCTTAATCTTGTCCCCCAGGATGCGACCCACACCAGTCGACTAACACCCAGGTACCTATTTGCTGCTAGGTGAACAGGACAACAGGTGTAAGGAAACGTGTCGAAATGTTTCCACCCGCCGGGAATCGAACCCGGGCCCTCCGTGTGTGAAGCGGGAGCTTTAGCCACCAGGCCTGCTTGCGTATTGGTGTTCTGAAATACGTGTTTGGAGGTCCCTTGATGTGACTTGAAAAAGCCCACTGTGTGGGCGAAACGTAGTCAATAAAGGATCACATTATACTGCATTTGTGTTTATATTGCCATTGTGTCGGTATTTTATACCATTTATTTCCATCTATACATCCTTGGTTAGGCCTCATTTAGATTATGCTGCACAGTTTTGGTCACCTTATTACAGAATGGATATAAATTCTCTGGAAAATGTACAAAGGAGGATGACAAAGTTGATCCCATGTATCAGAAACCTTCCCTATGAGGATAGACTAAGGGCCCTGAATCTTCACTCTCTAGAAAGACGTAGAATTAGGGGGGATATGATTGAGGTGTATAAATGGAAGACGGGATAAATAAAGGGGATTAAATAGGGGTGCTGAAAATATCTAGCCTGGGACAGGACTCGCAGCAATGGTTTTAAATTTGGGAAAAAAATTCAGATTCAGGAAGGATATAGGAAAGTACTGGTTTGGTAATAGAGTTGTGGATGAGTGGAACAAACTCCCAAGTACCGTTATAGAGGCCAGAACGTTGTGTAGCTTTAAAAATAGGTTGGATAAATACATGAGTGGATGTGGGTGGGTGTGAGTTAGACCTGATAGCTTGTGCTACCAGGTCGGTTGCCGTGTTCCTCCCTTAAGTCAATGTGACCTGACCTGACTAGGTTGGGTGCATTGGCTTAAGCCGGTAGGAGACTTGGACCTGCCTCGCATGGGCCAGTAGGCCTTCTGCAGTGTTCCTTCGTTCTTATGTTCTTATGTTCTTATGTCTTGGTTTTAGATTACTGCTAACCAGAACTCCTAAATCCTTTTTGCAATCCGTAGTATTAAGATCAACATTATTTAGTTTATATGTCGCATGGTTATTTAACTGTCCAACATTTAGAACTTTGCATTTGTCAATATTAAACTGCATCTGCCACTTCTCCGACCATTGCATCAGTCTATTCAAATCATCCTGGAGTGCTCTAGTGTCCTCATTAGAATGAATTGGACGGCCTATTTTGGTGTCATCAGCAAATTTGCTTATGTCGCTATTTATTCCCTCATCTATGTCGGTTATGTAGATTGTGAACAACAACGGGCCCAACACTGACCCATGAGAAACACCGCTTGTGACGTGCCCCCCCCCCATTCTGATTTCTCCCCATTTATGCAAACTCTCCCCTTTTCCCTTTTTTTTCGGCCTTTTTGCCTCCTCTACCCAAAAAAAATTTCTCCTTTATTCCGTGTCCCTTTAAATT